AGCCAAAAAAGCCACAAAATCAAGGCAAGTCAGTTCCGTGCAAGACCGAGTGATGGCCGGGGGCCAACGCCGGAAAAAGAGCAGATCCCGCGATCCCACGTCATGCGATCCGGCCTTTGCTTTTTTAGTTTTATATCGGACATTTCACCTTCTTCTTTTACTTCATTCTAAAGAAATACACTATTTTACACAATGAAGATCCTTACTAAAGAAGAAGAAGCTGCCCACTACCGGTACGAAAGCCCTGCACCCTCTTCCCATGAACAGCCCATACTGATAACCCCCCCAATAGCTCCGTCGTCAAAGGCGGCACAGTCGGTGGCGTGCTAGGTCTTGCTGCCGGCATAGCAGGTGTCCTGCTTGCCTCACGTCGCTACCACACAATCAACAACCTCACCGTCCCAATGAAAGCCTTCCTGGTGACGTCCTCGGGTACGTTCGCCGGTATCGTCTCGGCCGACCACGCCTCGCGCGAATACGAGAACGAGCAAAATGCCGCATACCAATGGTACGAGAACCGCGAAGAGCGCCTCCGCGCAGAGGAATCCCGCGGACTCAGCTTCAGCGACCGCGCGGCTGCCTTCGCCCGCCGCGAGAAATACAAGATCATCACCGCCACCTGGCTCGCCTCGATGGTTGGCTCGTTCGCGCTGGTCGGTCGCATTCCCGGCCTCAGCGGCCAGCAGAAGCTCGTCCAGGCTCGTGTCTATGCCCAGGGTCTGACGCTGGGTGTGCTGTGCGCTTCGGCTGCGTTTGAGATCTCGGATCAGCGTCGTGGCCGTGGCGTGATGGATGCGAAGAACAAGGCGAATCCGTCGGGCAAGCCTCAGTTTGAGGATGTTGAGGAGGATCAGCCTACCCACCAGGGTGCCTCGAATAATGAGGGAGATCTCTGGAAGGATATGGTTGCTGCTGAGGAGGATCGCTTGAGCTCTAAGCACATTTCTCTCTATGAGCATGAAGAGAAGCAGAAGGCTGCTGAAGACGAACAAAAGAAGAAGTCTGAGGAGAGTAATGATGAGAAGGACTCCAAGACGGAGAAGAAGGACACCGAGTCCAAGAACAAGAAGAAGAGCTCCTAGATGCACTATCTTGCTTCTTGTTCATCCCCTCCATGACCGCCATTGGTCAAGGTCCATCGCGGACATCGCTGCCCACTTTCTTTCTATTTCATACTGAGAGCCCGCAGCCTCTGTTGGGCCATAATGATAGATGGGACGGGGCGATGACATTGCTCGCTTGACCTTCATCCCCCCGTACATATGACTTCTTAAGCGTTTTTCTTCTTGTTCATGCCGCAAGGGCTCTCTCAGTCAAAAAAGTGACATTTATTTTACTGTGTCTACTTGTGTGATTATACTAAAGGATGTGCCCTCTTATCTCTGTTTCTCTACTCTAATAGATATCTGAAGACTAAATCTGGCATTCGTCAATAATGACGTCATAGTAATATTCATGGGTATTCGTGTTGTAATGTGGGGAATGTAGCAGAAAAAAGGCCATGCATATCAATGTGAAGAACCTATAGTCAGCCTTATTTCTTGCCGAATTTAGAAAGTTTCATCCTCCAAGTGCTCCATGCGGCGGATCACACTTGGACTTTGATCGTCGCTAAAGTCATCTGTAATCTCCCCAGCTCCAGCCGTAGCCAGCAAATCGGTCACAATGCGCTTAGAAGCCTCTCTTGCTACCAAGACGAAGGGAGTTAGCATGGATATAGTATTAAACATAGGATCAAGTGATTTCTTACCAGGCGTTCGCATCAACCGGCTCTGCGGAATGTGAAACTGCATTGTCTTAGGAGGACTCGGCCCAAGGTCCTCATCGTCGTAATCCAGATCGTCGTCGCTATCCCACATAGCTGACTTACCAGCAGACTTCTTAGCAGGTGTCAAAACACTCATGCCAGGCCTGGGAATACCGCGCATGCGATTACTGCTAGTCCGTCGCTTGCGGTTCGTGCCCGGGGTATCGATGCCCTTGATGGGGGATGAGAAGACTTCCGAGTGGAGCTGTGGTGCCTCTGGCTCTGGACTGGAAATCGGCGAGTCGTCATATCTGTACTTGGAGGTAGACTCGGCCGGCTTTGGGGTGATGTTGAACTTTGGTCGGGTGTTCGTGCCGCCACCCACATTGCGGAATCCCTTTCCGAGCGGCGTGGCTTGCACCCGGTATGTCTTGTCGAGCATTTGGTGCAGTACCGGGTCTGAGGTCTTCTGGTATCGACGGTCTTGGGTGGATGGCTCCGCGGGTGGAAGGAATGGTGATGACATCGGGGTTGTGACGGAGACGCCGCGTGGGAAGAAGAGCTGGCGGCCTGGAGTGGATGGGAGGGTCGAGGACTCTGGGAGGTCGAATGGGGGTTCGGATTCATTGACTTGTCTTCTTAGGTTCTCGTAAGAGGACGAGTACTCCATTGAGGAGGTTGTTATGTCGTCGTCGGCCTGGTGGTGGCCGCCCGGAGCACGCGGAGTGCTGTGCGAAGAAATGCCGAGTTCTGTTAGATCAAGGTCGTCTGCCTGATCGCGGCGGGGTGTTTCATGCCGCTGCGAAGATGGCGTCTCGTTGGACATGGTCTCGTCGAGGCTGGTGCTTTGAGTTATGTCGGCGGACAACTCTTCCTCCGTGGCTGTAGGGTCCTGCGTCGTTTCTTCATCGGTGTTTCTTTCTTCGTAGCCGGATAGGGATACGTTGGCACTAGCTTCGAAGAATTGCTTCCAAAACTAAAGGGAGTCAACCAATCTGTCTATAGCTGTATAATAAGCTGGTGGCGCTGACCTTGGAACCTTCCCAGACATCTCGTGAATGCTCGGTATATTGCTGTACCAGAGGCAATATACTCGTGGTAACTATCCGATGAGCTTCGCTGAAATTGTGATCGATCTCTGTATGAAGGTAGGACGATGAGCGGTCTGCTGGACTGTTTTGTTTACTTCTCTACCCTACCTTGCATTGTAAGGGTGATGGACTGTTCCAATTTCTCAAGCTCCTCCGTGAGGGACAACGGCCGTTGGGCCTGCGAAAATTGGCGAGACATGATGTATCGTCCAAGTTCAATTGTACATGAATCGAGTCAAGAGATGGGAGCTTGCAATCACGTCCCTCTTTGACGCGGGGAACTTTACCCAAAGCGGTGTGTACTTAGGGCCAATGATAAGGGCTTTTCCGGTCACGCGCGATAATGCAAGGATAAGGTCCAGGCATCCATCACCGAATCATCTTGCTCCGCTTGACGGTGGTGAGTTTTGAAAACACTTTTAGGAAAGACAATTACAGTATTCGGGTTCATTATGCCAGCACCACTTGCAAAAGGTATGGTCCTCTACCTCCCTAAACTTCTACATTTCCCTCCCGGATCATCCGAGCCGTGTACTCGGCCTTATCAGTTCCCCACTCTCTATACGATGAGGCTAAACTCTCATGCAGGAATCATCATTACTGTTTCTGTGCTTGTAGCAGCTGGCATCGCCGTGTATGAGTCGCCTCAGTTTCAACAATGGGTAACCAACTCGCGGCGCAAGATCGCCTTGGCTCTGCACAACCTCGGCGATGAGATCCAACCTCAAGACATAGCGTTGAGGCAAGACATTTCTATGACTGAGGAGACCGGCGACGTTGCCGAAGAACGCAGACGGATTGCTCGTGCGGAGATCATACGACGGGGAAAGCTCATTGAATCGGTCATTGAATCCCGACGGAAGGCCAGCCAGCCAAGCCAGCCTCATAATAGCTTTGATACTCTCGTCGACAGCGAGGGCAACCTGCGTATACACAAAGACCACGAATACGATACTCGGTCCAACGAAGAATTTACTGCTAACTCAACGGGAGTTGACCTGGGCACTTCGGAGCCTTTCCGCCGAGGTGTCAAGAGAACTGAGGCCGAATCCTCGACTACACCGGGTCGGAATCAGCTGCATGTCGACATCCCCTCACCCGCTCCCTCAATCCATCCTTCCGAATCTATGATTCAGTTTACGCCTCGGTCTGAAGTACCCGAGGGGGATAACCTTTTTGATCCATTCTCTCCTAACTCTCCCTTGTCTGCCTCTGGGTCCAGCCACACAGAAGACCATCAGCAGGTATATTATGCGCACCCTGATGCGGCAAACAACATAAATCATGAAAGTGATCATCTTGCCGAGCTAGATGGGTTCGGCCACGAGAGCGTTCAGTCTTACGATGAGATTTCGGCCGCTCCTTCGACCGCTGGAAGTTTCAGCCATGTCGGAGGATTTGAAGATGAAACGTCAGATGGCACTCTTAGTGACCTTGATGGGCGATCTGTTGGTGGTATGGCTACTCCGGCATGGTCTGATGTGGGTAGCGTAATTAGCAACGAGGATGCTGGACATCAGTTGCTCTGATACACTCGGACCGTCAAGGACGGATCAATGGGTGGGCTTTACTGGCTCGGGGAACTTTCGGTATAGTATTCGGTGCTTGGCGTTAGATGTGAGCTTGGCTGCAATTTGTTAATGCGATACAAGGTACATTTATGCTCTATTTCAATTGGAGTACCAATGGTTCCGTTAAATTTCCAATTATTCTGGACCCTTAGAAAGGCATTGTCCATTTTGTAGCGAGCAGCAAAGGAAATTCGAAGGCAAAGATCGGAATTTGCCTCTTCGCGTTCGATCACTGGGACACGATTGACGCAATTGCGAAAGAGAGTCTGGTGATTGGAATCGAGCTAGGTGACGTCCACTACTTTGAGCATATATACTATGTAGGTGATAATCCGTTATAACCGGCTCGGCATGGATACATGGAAATCAAGATGTAAAACGGCCAACTGGCCAACCACAATGGATCAACCACATGGGAACATCCACGTTGTGACGTAACGACCACACGGCCTAGACCTGGGAAGAAGAACATTGGGATCTTGGAAGACTAATTATAGTAATGCGATATCGTTTATAGTATACCGGGGATCCTTTGTTCTCTTACACTATTCCGTCAATCCATTCAATCTTCACACATGAAACCTTGCAAGCATGGCTACATTCATCACACATAAAATCATGGGTACCACCCTTCAAACTACCGAGAGATACACAGACTTGAAAGCACGAGGTGTTGGTGCGTTTGGGGTAATCTGGTATCTCCCCTCGTCTATTTTATTCGTACTGTAAGACCACTAACACCCAGTATCAGCTCGGCGCATGATTCAATGGCCAACCGAACGATGGCCATAAAAAAGATAGGGAAACCCTTTGAAAGCTCTTCCCGGGTCAAGCGCACATATCGCGAGGTTCATTTGATGAACAACCTAAAACATGATAATGTATGTGTAGAAAAGAGACGAAGTATGAACTGGAATACTAATCGCCAATAGTTGATCAACATGACGGACATCTTCATCTCGCCAGCGGAAGATCTGTACGTAAACCACTTTCGATCTCCTTCAATTATACTAACTATGTTGAAATGCAGTTATGTTGTGATGGATTGTTGCATGACAGACCTTCATCATTTGATCCAATCAAGGTCAAAGCCATTGGAGGACAGGTTCACCCAGTTCTTCACCTACCAACTGCTGGTATGTCTCCCCGAGTGATCCAGAAATATCAGTGTGGCTGACTATTTCAGCGAGGGTTAAAATTCATTCACTCTGCTGGTGTCATTCACCGTGATGTCAAACCTAGCAACATTTTGATCACAGAGAACTGCGACTTGAAGATTTGTGACTTTGGTCTAGCTCGAGAACAAGATCATCAGATGACTGGCTATGTCTCCACGCGATACTACCGAGCTCCAGAGATCATGTTGACCTGGCAGAGATACACCTACGCGGTGGATATTTGGAGCACTGGTTGCATTCTGGCAGAGATGCTCCTAGGAAAGGTCTTCTTACCGGCAAGGGACAATGTGCATCACTTCAAACTGATCACTGAGATCTTTGGGAAGCCGCCCAGAGAGATTATGGAGACAGTTTACAGCGACATTGTATGATCGAATTCTAAACGACCGGTTTAGATACGGATGGAAAGATGCTAACTACAAGTTATAGACGATGGATTTTGTGAACTCTCTACCCGAAACAAAACCCCGGTCACTTGGAGCTACACTGGGAGACGTTGACCCTGGAGGTATGCCCTTGAAATCTTAATTGATATCAAATGCTCCTGATTTATCTACCTCCAATGATACTGACTTTGCTAGCCGTTCATCTCTTGGAGAAAATGCTCGATATAGATCCACAAAAGAGAATCACGGCGGCGGATGCCCTAACCGATCCATACGTTTCGAGCTATTCGGACTCTAATGACGAACCCGAGTGTGAGAAACAAATTGACTTGTCTTTGTTGGATTCAGAAATGACTACAGATGAATGGAAGAGCAAAATGTATGAATTTTCCCCATCTGCGGCGTATTGATCTGTGCTAATCGTCTATAGGTATTTCGAGATTTTGAACTATCACACTGGTTCTTATAACTGGGAAGACACTGACCCCAAAGCTCACGAGGGAAGATTTGAGGATTGGCTGCGCCAGGAGATAATGGTGGGCACATATTAGTGATCATTAAGAAGGTATAACAACACATAGCTATCCCTCCGAGTGTATACATATAGATCCCATCGACACATCGGTAGAACTGATTACTGTCGACGTGAGCGACAACGTCTCGATCGAACAAGTGGCGGAATATCGCATCCCAGAACGGGCAACGAGTAGAAGGCCAAGTATGCCAGAACTAACGAAATAATAGCATGGTTTACCCCTATCTATAGAAATGAATGGTTTATGTTATATTCCAAAGTTTCCAATAATACTCGGACAAACCGAGTTACCTAGGCATCTCCACAGGCCAACCCCATAAAACTGGAAATAGATCTTGGTAAAGTATTTGGTACTTCCTACAGTCAGGGGTGATGGGCAAATTTCAAGTACCTGCTACTTATCGACCGGATAACCTGACAGGCGAAATGAACCTCGGCAGCCTCGGCCGGAACGTCGACCTTCTCTCCTCTTGATACTTCTTTTAACTCTCTCCTCTTCCTCCCCTTTGCTTGAATTATTCCTCGTCTCTATCCTAATTCTGTACAGTCTGTAAGTTATTCTCCCAGTGCCTGAGTTATTTGCATTCACTCTCCTCGAATCTCCGCACGTGGAAGCTTCCCCGCATTAAGACCGAGAACTTCCATGCCAGTACCGGCGTCTTCAACAAAGAAGAGAAGCACAAGACTGACGATATATTAGTCCAGTCTCTACACCTTCATACATAATGGCTGCTGATCGTTTAAGCTCGCTCCTGAGCCACCTCAAGCCCGGCGCCGCCAACGGCCTCGCTGCTATGTAAGTCTTCAGACAAACTCAGTTGTGTGTCATGGGTCTAACAAGCACACACAGTACACAGAAGAACCCCGACGATGTGGTCATCACCCTCGCGATTCGCACACCGCTGACCCGGGCGCGTAAGGGTGGATTCAAGGACACAGAATTGGACTATCTCCTCTACGCCCTGTTGAAGGAGACTCTGGCCAAGTCACAGATTGACCCTGCTCTGATTGAGGATGTCTGCCTCGGCAACGTATGTCCAATCCCTTTCCTTCCTCCATAAATTCATAGGTGGCATATTCTAACCCAAAGACAGGTCAACGAAGTCAAGGCCGCCTACATGGTCCGCGCCGCAGCTCTTGCCGCCGGCATCCCCCACACAGCCGGTGCCTCAACAGTGAACCGCTTCTGCTCGTCTGGACTGAAGGCTGTGCAGGATATTGCGAACCAGATCTCGATGGGCGCCATCGACATCGGTCTCGCTATGGGTGCCGAGCTCATGTCCGCTCCTGGTGAACGCCTGGAGAAGCCATTCAACGAGGAGGTCCTGCGCAACCAGGAGGCTGCCGACTGCATGCAGCCCATGGGCCAGACATCCGAGAACATCGGCAAGGACTTCGATGTCCCCCGCGAACAGCAGGACCGATATGCTGCCGAGTCTTTCCGTCGTGCTGAGGCTGCTCAGAACAACGGTTGGTTCGCTGACGAGATTGTTCCTATTCCTACCAAGGTTAAGGACCCCAAGACTGGCGAGATTACGGAGGTGATTGTGTCCCGTGATGATGGTATCCGTCCTGGTACGACCTTCGAGTCGCTTTCCAAGATTCGCCCTGCGTTCCCGCAGTTCGGTGACAAGTCCACTGGTGGAAACTCCAGCCAGGTCACCGATGGTGCCGCGTCTGTCCTTCTCATGCGCCGCTCCAAGGCTATCGAGCTGAACCAGCCTATCCTGGCAAAGTTCTGCGGTGCTACCGTTGCCGGTGTGCCCCCTCGCGTTATGGGTATCGGCCCAACTGCCGCTATCCCCAAGCTGTTGAGCAAGTTCCAGCTTGACAAGAATGATATCGACATCTACGAGATCAACGAGGCTTTCGCCTCTATGGCTGTCTACTGTGTCAACACCCTTGGTCTTGACCACGCCAAGGTCAACCCTCGTGGCGGTGCTATTGCCATTGGTCACCCTCTCGGCGCAACAGGTGCACGCCAAATCGCGACCATTCTGAGCGAGGCTCGCCGCACAAAGAGCAAGATTCTGGTCACTTCCATGTGTATTGGAACTGGTCAGGGTATGGCTGGTCTCTTTGTTAACGAGCAGCTGTAAATATCTAGATTGGTATAATTAAGTGATAATATACGGTCTGCAATGTACAGAAATGAGTTAATTACGAACTAAGAATATGGTATCAACGGCTATGTAGGTAAAACGCAAGAACTCGTAAATCATGAAAAGCATAGTGTGCCATGATATCACTTGGCATCATCTTGCTTTCCGGTCTGACTCTCCCTCTTCATTCTCTCCTCTGCAGCGCGCGCCATGATTTCCCTACGAGACAATGTCCCGCCAGAAGCAGCATTTCGGCCTCCAGCCGAGTCCCCTTGCAATCCACCAAGGACAAACTCCCCACCAGTCCATCCACACTCATCAACAAACTCCTCCCCATCCTGCGCACTATCCCAATCACCAGGATTATAAAACTCCTGACTAGACAACTGATTCCCACCAGATTTCCAATCAGCACGATCAACCTCCTTCTCAATCTGCGACGTCAAATCCCAGAAGTCGCGATCATGGGGCCCAAACACGCAATGCGCAAGCTCATGACACAGCGTCTTCCGAATAGTACGGTAATCACGGTATCCATCATAGGCATCCGTTCGCAACCGCAGCTCAATAACCTCGCCTTTATTTCGGTTCAGACCTAGCGTCCGCGACTCGCTCGTCGTGTGTTCCGCCGGGTTCATTTCTGTTAAGAGTGGCACGGAAAACTTGTGCTTTGTCATTGCGGCGCGGATGCCTGGATCGTCGCGGAGGCGTTTGAGGAAGTCGAGGGAGCGGTCTGGGTTGGGGAGGTAGGATAGTGGGAGGAGGCGGTGGAAGGTGTAGTTGTTGCTTGAGGATGAGATGGTATGGATGCCGCCGCTACGGGAGGACGGTGTTTGTTTGTTGCGTCTTGCGGCACTTAAGGCAGACGCGCGTAATTCTTGTCGTCGCTGTTCGCTAGCAGATTGTTCGTGCAGATCAGCGATTGCTTTAGCCGGGGTGCCGAGGAGGGTGATCTTGAACTTTGGGGAGGAGGGTTGGAGAATCGCGTCGAGGAGAGTTGGTGGGAAAGGCGCTTTCTGCATTCCGGGCTTTGGGGCTATGAGGAGCTTTTGGTTGTCGACCGGGATGTTCAGGACGCGCTCTATCTCGGAGGAGAGGGCTTGTAATGTTGCCGAGGCGGGGACTTGAATGATATGCGCGGTCCCATGGTGGTGAACGGTTAGCTCCTTTGGAGAGTCCATTATAGCGTACGAGTATATGTGCGATCGTAGGGCAGCAAATCGTGACAGAAGAGCTCGTGAGTGAAGAACTGCGATAAGGAAACTGCTTATATGGCCCGAATAGGCAGGCGCCGGCGAATTCGACCCGATTCCACGGCGATAGGTTTTGTCAGCGCGGAGATAAGCCGGAGCCATCACGTGATATTCATAATGTGAATGCCTCAGGCAGTGCGGCAAAGTCAGAAACTAACGAGGTAATTGATTTGAACTACGGAGTACAAGAAGTGCTATACACATCAAATCTTAACATTTATTATCTTCGCTCTCCGCTAGTCAAATGACGCAAAAGTGCGTTTTGAGTTCCAATAACAATTACGCCCAAATGCGAGCAGAACATCTTTGTTCAAGTAGATCGGCTCGAGGACCCCAAGGCTCGAAGGACAAATCTAGTAAATTGACAGTCTAAAATGGCACCCTTCCTTCTACTCCCACCAAGCAGACTGGTATGAATGACTCGCAGAGCAACCTCATGTCTTTCAGCTGTCTTTCACGAGGTGCCGTGCAAAAGCAAGCAAAAGCAGCGAACTACCTCATTCTATGTCTTCGGCAACGGTTGCAAGCCCGAATCCGGCAACCTCTGCACATGAAAATGTACTCAGGCATATGATGGTTGCAGACCTCACACTGCAAACTTCCAGTCTTACGAAAAACCCATTGCGAGTTCCTGTGGTGCTCGCAGCCGTTGTCCTCGTGCTGCTGCAGGCCATCGACTATCCGGTTAAATGCGATCTGGCGGACTTGGTTATTGGCGTTGGCCGGGACCTCCTCATGTACCGCTCGATTTGCCACTTCTTCAAGCCTGTCCTCGTGCCAAAGTGGGCACTCGCATGTTTTCCAAACCAAGCCGCACACATAGCAAAACTCGCGGCCGCAGCTACAAATCATTAGTTTCTTCTCATGTACTGTGATATGTTTGATTGTAGGGGATGTTTCTTGCTTACCGACATGTTATATGGTTGCAGCCAACGTGCAACTCTACCATGGTTCGGCAATTGAAGCATCGCTTCCAGTTTTGAGAATCCGCTATTTCCAATACAGCATGAAGAGTCTCGTCCATTGGGCAATCGACGCGAGGGTGGGCGAGGGAACGGCATGGTACATGAGTCCGCTGGTGACATTCGGGGCAGGTGCCGTGCTCGTCTCGGATAGCGAATGGGGGAATGAATTTCGAACATGTTGGCTCGGCGCAATAGAGGCGATCCTTTGCGGTCCATTCAAGGGCTCTTTCACTGAAGTTTCGAAGCTCCTCGTAGTTAAGGATCCTCAAAGCAACACCAGGCGGTATGACATTGCCGCAGCAACGAGGCGGGTACAATTCCTCGTCTCTGATGGCACCGAGGAACATCTGTCTTACGCAGTCGAGGCAAAACTCGTGACCGCACGCACCCTTGAACACGATAGACTCGACCTTTGTAAGGCAGGATGCACATTCACTCATGAAGTTGGTTCCTCGAGATGAACGCATGTATGATGAGCCTTCCCCGTTGTTAGATGATCTGCCACTCACAGACATCCGGCCCATGAGATCCCCCATGACAATGGAAACGGCATCGTCATCGTCATCTGACGATACGATATCGTTTGCCAAGGCATTCGTGCGATTAGCGGTTCCATTGTTCAGGGCGAGAGCGAATTGATGGTCCTGATTAGCAAGTCTTTCCTCACGAAGAAGAGACGTGAGTATCTTCTGGTCAGTGGCGATTGCAATACTCGTGCTAAGCGCCAATATCTCGTCGTCGATGGAAGTTTGCATAGCCCGAATATCCTCCCTCAAGCATGTGATGGCAATTTCAAGGTCTGTTGCCTTTCCTGCGCCTTGTTTTCCTTTCTGTCTATTTTCGAGATCATCTAAATCCTCAAGCAGAAGCCGAAGGATCATTCGCTTATCTTGATCTTGCGCCATCTCTCGAGATAGACTGGAACTTGGAGGTCTGATGCAATGTAAGAGAAATCACTGATCAAAAAGGCGAAGAATAATAGGGAAAAGATCAAGAGAGGGAAACAGTTGAGAGGGGAGGGGAATAAGAAAGGCTGACACAATAACAAACGGCAAGCCGGGTAGGATTCTCAACTTTGCTTGATGCGACTGTCATAAGGTGTTTGCTTCTACTGTGGAATATTGTCATTACCTCTATCGTGTCTGTGTCAGGCCGTCTTTGAGGTGCATAGAGCCGTGATAGGGCCAGTTACGAAGCGGTATATCATGGTTCAAACCCTAGATTTGGGGTATTTGATGCCTGAATGCCGTATTTTACCAGCAGAAAACTTAAAATACCTGAATTACTATTACACGTGCATAGTAATCAATGTACGCTGCCCAGGTGCCCGGTTCTACGTTGTATAAAATGAAGCTTTTCACGCCATACAAATCTGTGCATCACCATATTCTTGGGTGGTTTATTTATATATGGTCGCTCCCAAGGTTCCCGAGTCATGTTGATGTATTAATTACACTGTAGTTAACTAGAGCGGGGTAGAAAGCGGTGCAATGAGTATCGCAGTATCAGCGCCATTAGGGACTTTAGTCCTATTGGCTTTTGAGATTCACCGCTTGTGTCTCCGTATACTTCAATTGTTATGTGATATATATCTATAGTAGACGCCTATAAATATCTGCTGGGAATAATCAGCCGCTAACTGTATGTACGACTGTGAAAAGGACAATACGTGCAAACTAAAGGCTGTTGGCCTAGGGTTGGTGTGCTGTATAAAGTCCAAGTTACTACGATAGGGACCAGTCGTTTCGCCAATGAGCCATGTTGATATCAAATTTATACAGGATCTCAACAATGAAGACAAAGGCGTTGAGTGTATTTTCATCTATTCATAAACATCCAGGGAACAAGAACGATCTACATCATAACCGTTTGCCATTAGAACAAAAAAGTGGCCAAAAAAAGTGGCCAACGATTAAAAGCCGATTGAAATCTCTAGGTCCATGGAACATCTCTTTAAAAAGTCCTTTTCGTCATAACGCGGCGAGTGACTCCGATCCAAATTGGTAGCGAGCCTGCTAGATCAGAGTAAAACGCAATTGGAATTGGGTTTTTCATACCCAACCCTTTAAAAAATAAGAAAACTCATCAGTAAATCATTCCAATATCGTGGGAATGCATCTACTGCTCCTCAAGCTCGCCCTCGGGAGCATCCTGCATGTCGGAATCTCCCTGGGCGTTCTTCTTGGCCTCAAGTTCGGCGCGTCGCCGAGCGGCGGCTTCCTCGTCGGCCTTGCGGACGGCGTCGCGCTCAGCCTCGGCCTTCTCCTTGTAGCGCTGGATGATAGGGCCGGCGATGAAGCGGATGTCGTCCATCTTGGCAACGTAGACAGACTTGGTGGTGTCTTCACCATCCTCGTACAGCCAGTCCTAAATTGATGTGTTAGTACGCTTGATCACAATAGTTATTGACAGATGCTGATTCGAAACTAACCTCAGTGGTAGTGAGCTTGGCCTTCAACTTCTCCTTCTCCTCCTCGCTGGCAAACTCGGAGTACACGCCGTCAATCTTGTCACGGAGCTCGTAGATGGAGGCCTCGAGCTCGTTCTTCTTCTCGTCGGTCTCGGCAACAAGCTTATCCTCCATGTACATAGCGTTTTCGCGCTCAGTCCAAGCCTCCTTGGTGGCCTGGTCGAAGCCGCCGGTGGCGGAGGAAATGGGGAGGTCACCCTTGCGAACCTGCTTCTTAACCTTGCGGGTCTTCTTGGGCTCCTCATCCTTAGATTCGTCCATCTCGTCCTCGTTCTTCTCCTCCTCAATGGGCTCCTCGACCTCAATATCCTCGACGTAGTATCCGGACTCGACGTTGAGGATACCGTGCAGGTTGAGACGGGCCTTGAGCTTGCAGATCATGAAGTCGTTGTTGGCATCAGCCTGGACACCCTTGACGGAGAAGCGGCCAATCCAGGGGTTGACCTTGCCGGGCATAGCCTCGACATCGGAGTAGCGGGCCTCGAGATCGAAGGGCTGCTTGCGGTAGAAAGTGAGGATCTTGGTGGAAGGCATGACATTGCCGCGGCTGAAGACAGTGAGGCTAGTATCCTCATCTGGGATCTCGGGGGACTGCTCCCAGGTGAAGTCAATGGGGTAGTTGACAATGTCGTGAACGGCGAAGTCACGGACACGGAAAATAGGGGAGAGAGTAGCACAGCTGAAAGCACAACCGCGGGCAATGGCCTCGTCCTGGTTCAGGGTGAAGGACAGGTTCTTGCCGAAGAACTTGGTGATGGTTTCCTTGATAGAGGGGACACGGGTGCAGCCACCGACCATCTCAATCTGGTCAATGTCCTCAATCTGAAGCTTGGCCTCGGAGAGTGCCTGCTCCAGAGGAGCGGTCAGGCGGTCAAGGAGAGGCTTGACTAGGAGCTCGAGCTCCTCACGCTTCATCATAGCGCGGACGTCAACGTCATCCATAAGGGACTCGACGCTCAGAGGTGCCTGGGCGTTAGCCGAGAGGACCTTCTTGAGCTTCTCAGCGGCGACCAAGGTACGGGTCCAGGCCTTGCCATTAGTGTGGATGTCGACCTTGAACTTCTCCTTAAATTCGACGGCGAGGTGCTCGGTCAGAGCCTTGTCGAAGTTACGACCACCGAAGTGACGATCGTAGGCGGTAGCCTTGACGTTCAGTTCACCCTTGCGGAACTCAACAATAGAGGCAGTGTAATCGGAGTAACCAATGTCGACGAACATAACACGGCGGGGCTTCTCCTCGGGGCCGGGGAGATCTAATTTGGTGATACCCCAGCCAAGAGCGGTAGCGGTGGTGTCATTGATGAGACGAAGGATGTTGAGACCAGCGATATCACCAGCGTCAATCATAGCCCGACGCTGAACGTCAGTGAACCAAGCAGGAACGCTGACGGTGACGTCGGAGACGGGAGTACGCAATTCCTTGGCGGTGATGTCCTTGATCTTGGAAAGATACGCAGCGACCAACTGGGTTGCTGTGAACTTCTCCTTCTTGCCAAGGTAGCTGACCTCGACACCGGCCTGGCCATTGACGTCGACCAGTTTGCATGTGTTGTATTCCTGCTCGATGGCAATATCGGGATCGTTGAAAGAACGGCCGATCAGGCGCTTGAGGGAGCCAACGGTGTTCTTAAGGTTTGATATCTCTGCACCTTTGGCGGCCTCGCCGAGGTTTCGGCTGCGAGGAGTGAATCCAACGACGGAGCTATAACAATTCAAATCAGTCGTCAGTTATTTAGTGGATAGCGGGGGATTTGGGGACATACGGGGTCTGACGGTTGGAGACTTCATTGGCAATCTATAATGTCAACAACAAGCAGTTAGCGCAAATTCTCGAATTTGTGAGGTCATGTTTCATCCTAAGAAGACCGCGAGTCCAGATCAAGACCGTGGGGTAATACGCACAATGTCAATGCCCTTGTTGCGGGCAACACCAATTTTGGTGCTTTGCGCACCCAAATCTATACCGACGACACTCATTATGGAAGAAAGTAGGGGGGTATAGGAGATAGAAAGGTGGAGGGAGATGGGAGATTCAAAAGGAGGAAAAGTGAGAGAAGTCGGAGGGGAGAATTTGCACGCCACTCCACTATTATTGGAGGGGCGATGACAAGTGTCAAGCGGTCTGGCTGCTCTTTAGGCGCCGAACTTAAGAATTTCAAATTTGGGGTATAAACGGAAAACGTAAAATGTGTCAGAAAGTGCATTCATTCTCTATTTCCCTCTCTCCTACTGGTCTATATACCTTACTGGGCGTTCGGACTCTTCTGGTATCTCATCGAATCTTCTAGCGATTGCTAGACTACCCACTTTCACCGCCCACCGCAGCCTGGCAGAATAAAAATCGATCGTCTACGGTGGATCGGTGGTTACATCATATGAGACTGGGATGTGTTTTGGATGCTAAAAGCTATAGAAGTGAGACAAAACAAAATCGCGCTGGAAAACATAAGAATAGCATGGTCGAAAAGCTATGATGATGCTGAGACGAAAAAAAAGAGGAAGAAAGAAGAAAAAGAAGAATACTGACGTCATGCACCCTCAACGTATGTTCTCGTTAGACAATAATATCATGAGGTGGGTCACGAGATTTGAGGTCATTTCGCTGCCAAGTTGCTGGGCACCGTTCTTTCGGGGTCTGTGTAGGCTGGAGGCATATTTTCAAAACGTCCAGGCTGGTAGGCTCCTGGTGGGTGGGTGAGTCCCAGGTTCTCGTGCTCGGATGCGGAAACCAAAGCCGGAAGAGCATCATTCAAGCGGTTCTCCAAATTTTGGCTATCCAGGCTCATCGAGCTCGTTGATGCCTGGCCTTGGCGAGAATGATAGAGCTTCTTCTGGTCTTCTTCACTCATCAGGAGGTTTTCCACGTTCTGTGGTGTAGCAACCGAGCTAGAGCCGCAATCCGACGATGCACTGGGCACAGAGTCAGTTGAATGGCGAAAGAGAGAAGGTAACTGGTACTGGGAATTCTCGGAAGTTCCCATCGCGCCGACCATCCGCGCGAGCGCGGGCCCAGTATTGACATAAAACCCATCGAGCAGCTGCCTGGCAGGTGCAAATCGACCTTCCACATTCTCCGATGGGCGGATGGGAACAGATCTCTGTCGCACAAGGCTGGTGCGGAACGTATCGACATCAACGTTGAACTCATCGCCCTGCTCTTTTGCCTGTTCAACTGCTTCTCCTGGCGTGGTATGGTCATCAGCAGTGGCAGCATCGGCCCGTGGTCCACCCCAAGTTCGCTGGCCCGCTGTGAAAATACCATAGACCATATAAATCCAGTTGAGGAACGGGTTCACAATGAACATGAGTGGGTAAAGCCAGGCTTTATAGCGTCCGAGACGCAGGCCAAAGTATAGCATGAGTAAATAATTTAACCCCAAAGAGACCCCCATGAATCCCACAGGAAGATCCTCCACCTTTTTTGAGGTTGTAAGGAGTGCGAGGATCATGATGAAAAAGAGCAGTGCGGTCGTTCGGACCGTGTTTTGCATGAATCGAACCAGACACAGAAGGGGATACCGCTTCCAGAGCCTGGCATCAGTGAGCATGCAAACCTCGTTGGTGATGAAACCTAAAAACCATCTTCGGCGTTGCTTCAAGAGCGTACTAAAGGTCTGGACGGCTTCGGTCTTACAGAAGGCGCTCATACATAGCTGGATTTGATACCGCTCCGTGGCACCAATCATGAACAGGTGAGTGAGCCATCGGTCTTCCCCGAGATGACATTTTCCGTAGTCGAAGAGATCGTCGCATTGCTCAGCCTTGTCCGAAAAGTAATACTTGGCCATCTTGCGAAAAGCCGAGAAGCGTAGAATAGTCAAAGCGCCAGGGAGACAAGTCACCGCACCACAGCCAGACTCAACGGATCGTTCAAAAAGCTGACCATGGACGTATTCCATGTCTTGAAGAATTGTCAGCAAGCTGTTTTTCTCCGTCGTCGACGTAATGATGCCTGTCATCGCAAGCATATCGTGATTGCTGCCTGGCTTAAGTTCCATGTCGTACATGAAGTTTTGCAAGCAGACTCGATCAAGAATGCAGTCGGAATCGATGAACAGAACGAACAGATTGTCATGTGTCTTCAAATACTCAGCATAAACCTTGTCGATAAGCTTGAAAGTATGCTTCTGGCAATGCCTCTTACCGCCATGTTTGAAGCGAGATACCGTGATCCGTGCACCCTTGTAAATGCAGTCGATGCTCTGAGGATAGCTCTCTAGTGTGATCGGAATACCGAGATGGTCGAGGACCCGGAGATACGGCTCGTCCACCTTGCCACCATCGTATGAAAGGAAGACATGGATGCAATTTGCAGGGTAGTCGCAGTCAACCACGGAGTTGATGGCTTTGATCAAGACACTTGGGTCCTCCTTGTATACTGGCATCACAACCACAGTCTTCGGGGCTGTCCGGTCATCAAGCACTCGCTTAATCCTCTTTTTCCTCCCTAATGAATTGGTAGTAAGACCGTAAACACAGAATAGCCATGGGCCGATCAGAAGAACAGAAAAGGCCCAGAATGCGAACATTTGAAACCCATGCACTATCTTGTGGGGTAAGTCAACTGTGATTTGTGGTGGTAACGGCAGTGTCACGAGCATGACTGGGAGGAATGCCAGTCTATGTATTCGTCAGTGGATGTCCCTGAATGAAGTTACTAGGTTATGAGGTCCCGAAGTCCAAAAACCTACCGTACCACTGTAAAGAAGAATATCATAACCACAGCGAGAACTCTTATAGTCCAATGGTCTGCTTTCATCCACACCTTGATCAGGCAGTATATGAAGGCGCTGAGCCAGAGAAACCACTCGAACAGAGCTGCAAGTATCAATGGACCGACGATTGAAAGGTATACTATCTGTCGAGGATGGTCAGGATGGCATCTCGAGCTCAGGAGAAGGGAGGAATACATCTTTGGTCGGCCAGGTCCCCTCAACCCACGAAACCCTTTGTGATGGCACCATTTTGATTTGGCGAACCTGCTTTGTAGCCTGTTGAATATTGAAAACAGCACTTCAAGCGAAGGGTCCGATGGTATTGTATGTGGAGGACAACTACCATACATCCCGTTTGTTAGCATAATGGGAATCCGGGGGTTGACAGACGGCTACTTACAGCTCAGGGCCTGATAATGTTACTATCCTGCGGTGAACGGGGTACCCGGATTATAATCGACCAGGAAATAATATTCAACTGAAGATATATGTGATATTTGACAAGGGAGAATTCTCCATGACAATATGAGTACGAAACCCCCGGGGAAGGGAGTCAGCATATCAATAAATCACCTTGGCCTTCGGGAAGGTGCGATCTGACTTTGACGCTCTTGACGAAATATGAGTACATAATGTAGTTACTACGAGTCAAATCAATACTTCTCTTCGAGAACTTTATTTCTACTCCTATTCATCTCTTGTTATTCCATTTTTTCCTGAATACAATGAAGACAATAGAAGACAATGTATAGAGAACGTTGAATTGCCAAAAAGGGAATAGTTCGAGTCCACGCTAGCCAATTGCAGACTAGTTCCTGCCTCAGGCGCCAATGGAGCTCAAAAAAAATTCCCAGATTCTCCCCGCCGCGATATTGTCACAAGCGCAATAGTTTTCTGAATAGCGCATTGATCAACCCATAAAGGTATTGTGCCCTATGTCCCGAGATTGTCTATAAATCCCCTTCGACCCCTTGCTCACTTTCTGCTTTCTTTGACCCATTTCCGTCGCGTCGAAACTTCCTGCTTATCATCTTTTTTTTTGCCATCTGAAATAGTCTCCACATACAATTCGCAACTATGACCGAAGAACAGAAGACCCCCGTTGTCAACGCCGAGGCTGAGAAGGATGTTCAGAATGTCCTCGCCGAGCTGAAGGAGGAAGGCACCTCCGAGAAGCCTGCTCAGGACGCCGATGAGGCCCGTATTGTCGCCGAAGCCGCTAAGCTCGGAGAGAAGTCTGAGAAGGCCGAGGAGAAGTCCACAGAGCCCCAGACTGAGAAGCGCGAGACCCGCAGCTTCCAGCGCGATGGCCGCGGTGGCCGTGGCCCTCGCCAGAACAACGCCAAGTTTGATCCCTCCACCCTGGAGGTAACCGACGACCCTGTGCAGATCCGCAAGCAGGTATGACCATTTGAAACGCTCCCTCGCTAGATCTTAACTGACGCGCATACCGTAGGTCGAATTCTACTTTTCCGATTCTAACCTCCCAATGGACAAGTTCCTGCTCTCCAAGGTTGGCGGCAGCGCCAACAACGCCGTCCCCCTTGAACTCCTTCACTCTTTCAAGCGCATGCGCCGCTTCCAACCTTTCAAGGCAATTGTCGAGGCCCTCAAGACCGCCGAGAACGTCGAGCTCACCGAGAACGACACTGCCGTCAAGCGCAAGGTCCCTCTGCCCGAGTCCGTGAACGAGCACGACGCCAAGGCCGTTAAGGTCTTCGAGGATGCCTCCATGGCCCGCTCCATATACGCCAAGGGCTTCGGCTTTGGCGAGGAAGAACCCACTACACAGCTCGACATCGAGGCTCTTTTCGCTCCCTACGGTCCTACAAACGCCATCCGCCTGCGCCGCACTAACGACAAGACCTTCAAGGGCAGCATCTTTGTTGAGTTTGAGTCCGAGGAGAAGCAGAAGGCATTCCTCGCTCTGGAGAAGAAGCCCCAGTGGAAGGAGAATGACCTGATCTTCAAGAGCAAGAAGGAGTACTGCGACGAGAAGGTCGAGGAGATCAAGAATGGCAACGTCTACCCCTCCAACGCTCGCAACAGCGGCGGCCGTGGTGGTAGCCGTGGTGGACGTGGTGGCCGTGGTGGTCGCGGCGGTCGTGGCCGTGGTGGTAGCCGTGGCCGTGGCGGCCGTGACCGCAATGACCGTGATGGTGGTCGTGACTGGCGCGAACGCCGCACTGAGGACCAACAGAATGGCTTCCAGGCTCCCCGTGAGGCCCAGAAGGACTCCCGGTAAGTCATAGTGATCTGATATTCGCAGTGAGTGTATAAGTGCTGACTTTAATTCTAGTGGTGTCCCGGTCGTGCAGAGCACCCAGAAGCGCTCCCGTGAGGACGAGGGCACCAGCGGTGGTGACCACCCTGCCAAGAAGGTGGATGCCAAGGAATAAGGTATCCAGTTTCGGCGGATTGAAATGTCTTGTCTTTAATTCTTGTTCTCTGATTCGGTCAATCAGCGGGATTCAAAAAGTATTGCGGATTGGAGATCCCACCTGCCTCTATTTTCCGATTATTTCATAGAGGTGAACCTTCTATCGGCGTTATTGTCATTTCATTACGAGCATCTACGGGTTGGCTAGGCAGGCCCCAGTGGCTACGATTAACGGGGCCTACCTAGGGTTTGATATGTACAAATGAGACTTTTGAACGGACTGTTCGCAACTTTCTTCGCTTTATGGGAAACCTACTACTACATCAAACGCCTAGAACTCTAGATCATAGGCCAAAGTATCGTCGCACAACTCCTCGCGCATTTTATGAACCCTCCAAGGTGTCAGCAAATGAGCCACGGTCCTCACTAACCCGACGACGAAGAAAACTTACTCCAAGTGAGCAGGGTGTACCGCATAGGTAGCCACATGCTCAGGCGTCTCCAAAACAGCAACAAGTCCCATATCGAAGCCGTGGGCGCGGGGAATCGAAATCGGCAGCGGGGGACCGTTCTGCAGCGACAGCAGTCCTATTGTGAGGATTTTATGAGAAAGTGTCTCAATCTGAACTTCAGGATCTCACATACCGGGAATCTTCCCCACCATTCCCTGGCATGTTTCCTTCCAGGTCGCGATCTGGGCCGGGGTGACACCAGATTTGAGGCGGAAGAGGACTTGGAGCTTGGTTAGTGATGTTTCGTATCCTTTGGATACCTGCGTCCAACTCACCGATGTGATAAACTGGCATTTTGGCTGATTCTTCACTAACAAGGGTAGATGTACTTTAGCCAAATTTAGTGCATCCGGTAATTGTCTCTTTATGCTCGGCGGGGTGCCGGTGGGGTTCTCGGGGGATGTCCGATGCCTTGGTACGGATATCTTATGCGATGATATAGCTCTTGATGGCAACAGTGGACTCTGGATCCATTGGGGATCCGTCTTGCTGATGATTAGTCTTGCATATTGTGGTAACTATATAGCCTAAGTATAACTATGTTCGTTCCTCAATCTCAATATAAATTGTAGACCCATTACCATTCATCTTTCCTTTTTTATTGGACTTTCTTTGTGTACAGATGACATTTGAGATATGCAAATTAATCACCTATTGCTAATGCACCAAGTCTCTTCATAGTTTTGTCCTTGGAGTCTTCTACCTCCTACACCAGACACTAATTTCACCTGCCTACTCATTAGACTTTGCCCTACCACCGATCATAATAGCAGCCCTATGTTGTATTGTGCTGTTCCCCATGATTTATTGATTTCTCTATCATCGAGATTTATACGCGCTGCCACTGAACAGCACTCGTTGCCTATGGACGCCCGCTGGGCTCGCAAACCTAGATGTGGAACCCTAAAGTTCAACTATATATTCTTCGGGCCCTGTATAATGATCCTACCTACGCTCCAATGTCATATATTTCCCATGGTGGCCTCGTATAAATTCTTTCATTGGCATCGCAACATGGCTCATAGGCTGTAGCTTCCACGAGTGATATACTATTCGCTTTATCTGCCCTAACCCCAGCGAGATGAATTTTGCTATTGAATGTTTATGTTATTTATTTGAACAGCTTTACCTTTGCAGCTTTCATGTTGCTAGAATGAATTCTTACTGTTATGCTCCACCACCTAATCCTATTCGAAATCTCGTCGTGCATCCTTCAGCTTGAGGTAGCGATAAGACAGATCCCATGAAAGGTCCACTAACAACAGTGCTTAGTTATTCTTGATGTTACAATAGTTAACTATGTTGTACAACATAATGACAACCTTGGAAGCTCCAGCATCAGATTCCAAGGTTAACCGCCAATGGGGTAGATGTGGAGCTCCAGAAGAATTCTAACGGGTTCAAGGTTCATCGTTACGGGGCCACGTACGTGGCTTTGCCAAGGCGATCTCCACAAACGCCTCGAGCAAGTTTGAAAGATCAAATGTTGGTTATGTTGTACTCCGTACAAATATAGGCAATATCGTGGGATAGCATATACTATGGCACTTTATATAGCTCGGTAGTCCCAAATAGGCACTTTCCAACTGGCATTTTTCCCTATCTCCCCTGTCTGTTATTCACCTGAGATACTCCGTACAGATATTTCCATCGCGTGCTTACTTGCTATTTTGGGAGTCTTGGCGGCGGAATAGCCCTACGATGATAGGCATTGCTGATCTTTGCTTCCCAAAGATGTCGGATATTATTCTAGGCGTGTGGAAAGTGGACCGGGCCCTCTCAGCTTGAAGGTCTCTCCTTATTTCTGAAATCCTTATCGGATTCTTCTCCTACACCTCTTCCATTACATCCATGGGGAAAATTCTGTCCTTTAGTTAGTTCAGGTGCAACGTTCTTGTATGATTTGACGCATTCCAGTTTTCTTTTTTTGTACATATATCATGAGACCTCCCTGGGAGCTGAAAGAGGGTCTTTCCCAACGGCTGCGTGGGAAGCTTGAATCTGCAGCCATCGTCGCCCTCGAAATCGCCAGATCACCTCAGGACCATCTTAATCGTGGCTGGGCAGCCTCGCGCGCATATTTCTTTTCGGTCATTTTCATCTCCCTCGTGCTTTCCAAGGCTTTCCATATCTACGCCCATCTCAATGCGCTAACGGTCCTGTCCCTTCTCGCCTGGGGCCCCACCTTCTTTTTGTTGGATATCCTGCTCATTCTGGGCGCGCGCAGTCTGGTCCGATCGTACGAATGGCGAACGACTCGGGATATAGCGGCCGTGTTTACTGCGCTATTCAGGTAGGCCTTCATCGGATTCACACGGCGAATGGATCGCTAACCATCTCAGTCTATATGCCTCGTC